ACATTTTAAGAGCTTTCTAATATTCTGTTGAGGACATATCCTATTATTTATTCAACCTAGCCTTTATGTGAGATGGTTTTTGTCTCCATTTCTTTCTGTTTTGAACAGACATGTCAAGAACATTTTTGCAGCTGTATCTTTCTACATATCCCTGATTATTTCCTTGAATAAACTGCTAAAAGGGAAATTAGTCATTCAAGTGGTAAATGAAATAATAAGAATTCCGATAAGTATTGCTAAATTTCCCTTCATATGATGTGCGAACTGATGCTTACACCAGCATGTTGTTAGTACCTATTTCTTCCTATTATTATCTATTAAATATTTATCGAAGGATGCTGTAGAAACATAAACAGAAAAAAATTAAAGCCTCCATAATCTCACCATGTGATCAACCATTGTTAACATTTTGTTATGTTTTTCAGAATATTTATAAATATTTATTTTATAATGTGTATTTTAAAAAATTTTTTGGTGAATTATCTTTCTTATTACTTTGTAAAAGTACTTACATGAAACATATGTTGCAATTTTTTTCCTTTTATTATCCTTTAATTTTTGTTCCTGGGATATTTTGGTGTATGTTATGTTTTTATGTTCATTACTCAAATCTATCCTTTTAAGATTTTTGAAGGGAGGGATAAAAGAGATTTGTTAATGGATACAAAATTGCAGCTAGACAGGAGGAATCAGTTCTTGTGGTCTTGCAGCACGTTAGGGTTACTGTAGTTAACAATAGCATATTGCAGTTTCAAAGAGCTAGAAGGACGTTGAATGGTCCCAGTGTAAAGAAATGATAAATATTTGAGATGATGGGTATGTGAATTACCCTGATGTGATCACTATACATTAGATGTAGTGAAATTTCACTATGTATTCCATAGATATGTACAATGATTATCTGTCAATTAAAAAATAAAATTTTAAAAAGACCTTCACCTGTTGTGTCATGCATGAAAAGGCCTTTCACATTTAATAAAATTTTCATTTTTGCTAATCTCTTTTTACATTTAACTCCTTAATCTTTAGGGCAGTGTTATGATCAGACTGACATTTTAGATAAAACACTCTGGCAACTGTCTAAAGAATATATTGTGGCTGGGCATGGTAGCTATATTTCCAATACTTTTAGGGGCTGAGTTGGCAGGATCGCTGAGGTCAGGAGTTTGAGACCAGCCTGGACAACATAGCAAACTCCCATCTCTACAAAAATAAAAAATAAAAACTTAGCCACATGTGATAGCACATATCTGTAGTCTCAGCTACTCAGGAGGCTACGACGGAAGGAACTCTTGCCCCAAGAATTCTAGGCTGCAGTGAGCTATGATTGCACCACTATACTCCAGCCTGGGTGACAGAACAAGATTCTGTCTCAAAGGAAAAAAAAAGTATTGGGGTAAAATAAAACTAGAAGCACAACAAATAAGCAAATGAGGAGACTTTAGAAATAAAATAAGAAAGCTATGATGAGGGAATGGGATGTATCCAATGAGGTGCAATTGTTAAGATTTATTGCCTGTGGATTGGAGATATAAACTGAAGAAGAGGTGATTCCTGAGTTTTGATGTATATCATTGTAAAGGAAAGCACAAAAAAGATTGTTTGGATGTATGCCAGAATTCCACTTAAATGAATGACATTCGATCAGGAGATTACAAAGACCAGCACCCATGTTTATTGTTTCTTTAGGATCAAATAACATGCAAAGAAAAGAGCAGTCTGACATTTTTATTTTTATTTTTTGAAATAGGGTCTTACTCTGTTGCCTAGGCTGGAGCTCAGTGGTTCAATCATGGCTAACTGCAGCTTGGATCTTCTGGGCTCAAGTGATCCTTCTGCCTCAGCCTCCCAAGTAGCTAGAACTACAGGTGTGCACCACCACACTTACTTACTTTTGGCTAACTTACTTACTTACTTTTGGCTAACTTACTTTTTTTTTTTTTTTTCCCCATAGAGACAGAGTCTCCCTATGTTTCCCAGGCTGGTCTCAAACTCCTAGGCTCAAGGGATCCTCCTGCCTCAGCTTCCCAAAGTGCTGGGATTACAAGCGTGAACCACCATACCCAGCCCAGACCACCATTTGTCAGAAAGAAGTGATGATGTATGTGCCTCACATTTGGAAATAATTGCTAGGAACAAAAGAATCAAAATCTCAGTAACCATCTCTAAAGGCATTAGGGACTTTGAACCAATAACCTAAACCCTGGTGAGATTCTCTCTTGAAGATATTGTTTCTGAGCCTTTGGACTCCACATACACAGATGACACAAAAATGTATATTTCTCTAAGCTCCAGCCCTATCTAACCAACTGTCCATGTGGATATCTTCTTGGGAATCTCAAAGGTATCTCAATGTCAACACTTTTAAATCCAAACTTCTGATTACTCTCCCCAAACTTGATCTTCTTCCATTGTTCTCTAGCTCAATGACTAGTATCATCCACAAAGAAAGAAACCCAGCAGTGACCCTTGAAATTTCCCTTGAAACCTGTTGTTCCCAATATCCCATCAATCACAAAAAAATTGCAATCTTACTTCCTAACTATCTGTTGAATCTGTCCAATTCCCTCCACTCCCAGCAACCAAGGGATGCACCATATCACTCCCCAGATCACCATTCTCATAAGCGATCACAGAGTGACCCTTATAGAGTTGGGCAAGGTTGTGATCCTGTCACCATCCCCATCCTAGTGACATGATTATTGTTTCTTGCCTGGCTACTGTGAGGGACCCTCAACACTCTCCTTGTTTCTCATCTGGCCCCATTGAATCTGTGCTTCATACTTCAGATGAATTTGCAAACCCAAATGTACCTGTGCATGCTTCCTGACTGAGACCCTTGTGAGATATCCCATTGCCCTTAGAATAAAGACTCAAGTCTTTAACATGTTCCATAAAGACTCAAGTCTTTAACATGTTCCATCAGGCTCTGCAATGTCCTGTCCTTAACTACGTAGACCCAGTGCACATCATTTCCCCAAGATGTTTATGATCCGTCTACAGGTGTCTTTTGTCAGTCCCAGAAACCTGCCATGCTCCCTGTTCACACAAAGATTCACACATGCATACCTCTGTCCATAAAGTCTCTGTCTGGTTAATACCTACTCATTTGTATCAGTTACCTATTGCTACTAATAAACACTTCAAAACTCAGTCTCTTCAAACAACAGACACTGATGGTAGCTCACAGATCTATGGGTCAACTAGATGGGTCAGTGGCTCTGGGCCAGGCTTGGCTGATAGCTGGGCTTGATCATGAGACTGTACTCACCTAGCAGGGCAGCTGCAGCCTGGCTTGTCTTGGATGGCCTGTCTCACATGTCTGGCAGTTAGGTAGCTGTTAGTGAAGATGTCAGGGGCAACTAGACCAACCATGTGTCTCTTTTTATCCAGCAGACTAGACCAGCTTATTCCCACGGATGGCAGTGTTGGGCTTTTTAAGGAGTGAATGGCCTCACACAAAGCTTCTTAAGGTCTACATTCAGAACTGACAGACTGAACATCACTTCTCCTGGATTTTATTGGCTAAAGTAAGTCACGAAGTCAGCCCAAATGAAAAAGGTCATGAAAAAGATTCTCCTGATGGGAAGAGTTACAGACTCACCTTGTAAGGGGACAGAAAGAGTCAGGACAAGTTTTGCAATAAGTCTACCACATTATCTTTCAGATATTGGCTCAAGATAAGATTCCTCAGGGAAGCCTCTCACAAGCTACTTGCCTAGACTGCATTGCCTCATTATGCCCCTTATGGACTCACTCTATGAACCACTTCTTCATGGCACTTGGCACAGTTGGAATGTCATATGTGTTTCTGTGATTATTTGCTTAAGGTCAAATCCTCCCTTCCATACACCTCTTCCCCTAAGACTTAGAGGTCAACTAAAGGCCAATGTCCTCTTTTCCAGTACCTGGTACAGAGTAGGTAGTAATCCACGAATATTTGTTAAAGAATGATTTCACTTCCCATTGTGTTATTTTGATAATATATACTTTCTGTTCCCTGATACAATGCTTTCATTAAAAAAAAAAAAGACCTTTTGCTTTTTGGGAGGAGACAGTGAGAGGATATTGAGTCCTGTGCACAGCAGAAACCCCAAGGGATGAAGTGATTATCATTGCCTCTTTGGGACCTATGGCAAGGGAAAAACTGCATGGGTTGGCCACTGGGGGCTAGAAAGTAGCTTTAGAACTTAAAATACAGAGACTCATGTGGGGTCTTTTCATGAATTGAGACCCACGAAAGCAAAAAAAAAAAAAGCAGCAGGTTATTGGAAAAAGATAATGGGTTTCACTGTAGATTTGTTGAGTTTGAGGAACATTCATGAATCTAACACTTGGAAAAGAGCTGGAGATTGGACAAGGTATTAGTCTGTTCTCACATTGCTATAAAGAAATACCTGAGACTGGGTAATTTATAAAGAAAAGAGACTTAATTAGTTCACAGTTCCTCAGGCTGTATAGGAAGCATGGTGGCATCTGCTTGGCTTCTGGGGAGGCTTCAGGAAACTTACAATCATGGCAGAAGGCAAAGGGGTAGTTGGCATGTCTCGTGGCTGGAGCACGAGAAAGCAGGGTGGTGGGAGCTGCTACATAGTACACAACTAGATGTCATGAGAACTCACCCCGTGATCCAATCACTTTTCACCAGGTCGTACTTCCAACATTAGGGATTACAATTCGACATGGGATTTGGATGGCGACACAGATCCAAACCCTATGAAATATCTAGAGTTGGGAGTTCACAGTGAATATACTTAAGAGCAATCTCAACCATAGAAGTAGATGAGAGTGGGCAGAGTAAGAAAAGAAGGCTAAAGACGGAATCTGAAAGAGAATCACATTTAAGAGGCAAGAGGAGCAAGTAGGTCAAGGGGGCAATGAGGAATACTCAGAGAAACGAAAGCAGAAGTAAGAAAGAGCCAGTCTCAGCTCCGTCTCAAAAAAAAAAAAAAAAAAGAAAGAGCCAGTCTCAGAATTAGAGGAGGGAAGAATTTCAAGAAGGAGGAAGTGACCCCCAACACCAAACGTAGCTAACAGATCAAAAGATAAGACACAAGAAGCACTCGATTCAAAATGACATACGCTGTGAGTGTTATGAATTACTTTTCCTCAAAGGATTATTTGTAATGATGTGCATATCTTAAAATTCTTAAATTTAATATGGCGTAAGTTTCAGGAAGGCAATTTATAAGGCTAAAAATCCAGACACAGTGTCCATTTTGTATTTGAATTTCTACTTTGAGCGATTTTTAAGCCCCATTCAGATTCCTATGCTCTTCCCACAATGCCATTTGGCCTCTCATTTCTATGCATATGTGGAATTAGTTATTTTGGTAATTTTTACTGCCACTCATATCAATAAAGAATACCAGTATAGATTAAGTCTAATTAATTCCCATATTCTACTTAACTTAAATGAAATGTTAACCCCAATTTTTTTAAAGGCTAGAATGCTAAATAAATGCTCACTATTGAGCTGATCAACTAAAACATGTTTAGAATTAGCTCTGGGTTCTGTCTTTCAGAGAATTATAAGTAAAAGCAATGAAAAGGGAGGAAAAATTAAGCAAGAAAATACTGAATGTACCAAATGTTAAGGATGCCTTTATCTTCTTTTATAGTTTTTTTTCTTTTTTTTTTCTTTTTTTTTTTTTTTTTTTGAGATAGAGTCTTGCTCTGTTGCCCAGGCTGGAGTGCAGTGGCACAATCCACTAGGCCATAGCCAGTTGCACTGTGAAGGAGTCAAAGGGAATACTCCCTTAGTTGAGGGAAGATGTTACTACATCTAGAGTGATGAAACTTTAGTTTTCATTGTTCTAAAATTACAATGGGAATATGGAGGTTTCTCCTTATGGATATTTTGAATATTTTAGAATCTATATATTCCATTTATCTTTTTATGGAGCTTAATTCTGAGAGACACATGAAAACCTGAATGTTACTGATTTTCAGGGGTTTTTTTTTACCTTTTTTTCTTTTTTATTATACTTTAAGTTCTAGGGTACATGTGCACAACGTGCAGGTTTGTTACATATGTATACATGTGCCATGTTGGTGTGCTGCACCCATTAACTTGTCATTTTCATTAGGTATATCTCCTAATGCTATCCCTCCCCATTCCTCCCACCCCACAACAGGCCCCGGTGTGTGATGTTCCCTTTCCTGTGTCCAAGTGTTCTCATTGTTCAGTTTCCACACCATCATTCTTAGCAAACTGTCGCAAGAACAGAAAACCAATCACCTCAGATTTTCAGTTATTTTAAAGAAAATAAGCATTATCAAGAAAGTTTAAAATGTAAAGTAACAAGAATGTAATTGCAGGGTATCTATCTGTAGCAATCATACATTCTACTTTGAATGCTTTTGCATGTTGAACTCTCATCCTCTATTGACCACTGAGGGCCATGCAACTGTTAAGTAACAATGCGAAATTCCTGGCTATCTCTGCAATTTAGTTGAACAATCATCTCATATTTATGCAGAATCATTAACTTAACTGGACAAGCAGGTTTCACAATGTTACACACTCCGAGTTGAAGAAAATTGTCCACCTTTGCAATCCTAAAACATTCAACATAGCAATTTATAAGTGTAGGCAAACAGCACTGGGTGAATATAAACTTTGAGGATGGATTAATTTTTTTCCCCATTGGGTACTACATTAACAAACAAGGTGCAATATAGTAGCCACTGAATGAGAAGTCACATTTAGGGTGAGAGGTCACATTGTATTATGTGGGAGTGATTCCAGAAGTGCATGGAACTCAGAGAAAATGAAAACAAAGAGCAAATGCGTAGGTGTCCTGAGTCAGCCATGAGGGTGATTGATAGGGAGCTGCATTAGGAATAGTCCTCACAACCAAACTCCTTTCTTGTCCTCTTGTTTTGTTTAGCATTGGGCAACACTGTCTTTATTTTATTTATTTATTTATTTGAGATGGAGTCTCACTCTGTCACCCAGGCTGGAGTACAGTGGCACCATCTCAGCTCACTGCAACCTCTACCTCCCGGGTTCAAGCGATTCTCCTCCCTCAGCCTCCCGAGTAGCTGAGATTACAGTTGCCCACCACCACTCCCAGCTAATTTTCCTATTTTTAGTAGAGACAGGGTTTCACCATGTTGGCCAGGCTGGTCTCAAACTCCTGACCTCAAGTTACCTGCCCCCCTCAGCCTCCCAAAGTGCTGGGATTACAGGCTTGAGCCACCGCGCCCGGCCGCCTGGCCAACATTGTTTTTTTTTTTTTTTTTTTTTTTGAGACAGAATCTCACTGTGTCACCCAGGTTGGAGTGCCGTGGTGCAATCTCGGCTCACTGCAACCTCTACCTCCTGGGTTCAAGCTATTCCTGCCTCAGCCTCCCAAGTAGCTGGGATTACAGGCGTGTGCCACCACGCCTGGCTAATTTTTGTATTTTTAGTAGAGATGGAGTTTCACCATGTTGGCCAGGCTGGTCTCCAACTCCTGACCTCAAGCGATGCACCAGCCTCGCTCTCCCAAAGTGCTGGGGTTACAGACATGAGTCACCGCACCTGGCCGCTTTGCAGATATTCTTATCACCCTCTTAGAGCATTTATGTAGGTGAAGAGGCCCAGGCTAGCCTCCTTTAAAATGAGAGAGAATGTGGAGAGAGAAGCCCAGCTAAGAGTCGGCTCTAATAGCCAGACACATGGTGAGGTTCCAGTCAAGCTGCCATGTGACTGCACCTGAATGAGTGGTCCCAGCAGGACCAATGGAAGAAACCCCCAGCTGGGCCCAGCCCAAAGAGCTGACTCACTGAAATATTATGCAATAATATGGTGGCTGTTTTAAGCCACTGGGGTTTGGAACAATTTCTTATGCAGCAGTATATAACTAGTGAATACAACTAAAGTACATTTGAATGGCAAACAGAAAACAAATCCAGTGTTGCTGTTTGCAAGAGTTCCAAAAATAATAATAATACAGGTAATTTGAAAATAAAGGGACAACAACATGCTAGCCAGAAAGCAATATTAAAACAGAAAATAAATTGAAAAGGTAAACATTTCGAAAATAAAGAAAGATACTTTATATTGGTGAAATGTACATCTTACCAGAAAGGTACAAAAGTCATAGACCTTTATACACGTAATGATGTAGTTTCAAAACATGCTAAGTAAAAAATGTTTTAATATAGAAGGAAATATGATAAAACAACTTGGAAGTAAATAAATTTAAAAACAAGTAAAAAATATAGAGGGTTACAGTTACACAATTAATAAACCTAATTGGAGAGTTATGTTTTAAGAAAATCTGTGCCAAACATGTAGGAAAATACATTAAGTATTCTTATTTATCTTCATTTTTGTGTATTATTCCCAACATAAAAAATACAGAGAATCATATCACAACATATACCTGCCAATGAGATTTTTTTTAAAGGTTAACTTTTTTGCATGTTTATTTAGATCTTTTGGCTTTTAGAGAATAAAATGCTACAGATACAATAATCTCTACTATCACATTTACCTCTGTCACTCTCTGAAGGGCACAACTATTCTTATGAAAATGATGAATTTCCCACCCTGTTTTTATTTATTTTTTTACATATATGTGTTTCTGTAATTAATATATAGGTTGATTTTTGTTGTTGTTTTTTGGAGACAGGATGTCTGTCACCCAGGCTGGGGTATAGTGGTGTCATCTTCGCTGCAGCCTTGAGCTCCTGGACTCAAGGGATCCTCCTGCTTCAGCCTCCCTAGTAGCTGGGACTAGAGGCCCTCACTCCCATGCCTGGCTAATTTTTAAATTTTTTGTAGAGACTGGGTCTCACTCTGTTGCCCACGCTGATCTCAAACTCCTGCCCTTGTGTGATCCTCATGCTTTGACCTCCCCAAGTACTGGGATTATAGGTATGGGCCATGATGCTTGGCCTTATTATGTGCATTTTTAGGATTTACATTGTGTAGGGGAAGGAGGAAAGAAACCTTTTTCTCTACCCTCTTAGTTTCAGCATCTGGGGCCCAGAAAATGAAACTAACATAGAGCATCTTAACAAAGAACAATACATTTATAGAGAAGTGAAAAGACAAAAGGAAAAAGGGTTTAGGTTCTTAGGAGTGGCAAGCTACAGGAAGATAAGTATATAGGGGAAATTAATGAAGGATGAGGGCTGTTTTATAAGGTTTGTCATGCAGATTCCTGTCTGGGCTGATACTTAGAGTCTAGAGTCATCTCTGGTGACTAAGACTCCTGGGGATTAAGAGTGGTTCTCCTCCTGATAAGGGAGAGGGAGACACCTTAACAAATGGGAATTTATGTTCTGCTTTAAGTCAGATAGGGGAGGGCAGAGAGCTTTATTTTCTTATGTCTACTATCTCTTAGCTACCTTTGGCTCAAAATAATTCTTATGCCACAATGACATATTTTCAGCTGGCATATCCTGATCCCCTACAACATAAAATTTTAAATTTACATAAATATGTATCTTTCTGCAATATTTTTAAAATTCAAAATAAAATAGCCATGCTGTATTCACTTGCAAGCATATGATGAAGTTCATTCATTTTTTTAGCTGCTGTAAAGTATTTAATTCAGTGGTCCCATCTCCTACTACTGACTGCTTAGGTTGCTTCTAATTTTTTGCCATTATGTAAGTCTGCAGTGTGTACCTTTGTATACACTTTTGTGGATGTATGTAAAAGCATTCCCAGAAAACTGGAATTGCTAGGTCATAGGTAATACAAACCTTGAGCTTTGCTAGATATTGCCAAACTGTGCTAAGAAGTGGCACCAATGTTATCGCCCTACAATGTAATTACCAATGTATACTCCAACAGTGGCTGAGAGTTCTGATTTCCCTATATCATGACCACTACTTTGTATTGTTAAACTTTTTAAATCTGCGCCAATTTGCGGAAAGTGAAATGGTATGGTTTAGTTTAGAACTGGCCAGGTGAGTAGCTCATGCCTGTAATCCCAGCACTTCCAGAAGCCAAGGCAGAAAGATGGCTTGAGGCCAGGAGTTTGGGACCAGCCTGAGTAGCAGTGAGACTCTCTGTAGAAAAACACTTTTTAAAATAAGCCAGGCGTGGTGGCATGCACCTGTAGTCCCAGCTACTTAGGAGGCTGAGGCGGGAGGATCACTTGAGCCCAAGAGTCTGAGACTGCGATGAGCCATGACTATGCTACTGCACTCCAGTCTGGGTGACAGAGTGAGATTCTGACTCAAAAATATAAATAAATACAATAATAGAAACCTAAGTAATAATGGCATTCTCATTGTCATCTGGCATCTAATGTTGCAAATGATAAATACACTATCAGTTTACCTGTCATTCTTTTTTGGCACCTTATTATTCTGTTTTAATATTTTGTCTTTGTCTTTGTCATTGTGCAGCTTACAATAACATCATTTTGTGTTTGTTGTTGTTGTTTTTGAGACAGGGTCTCCATCTGTCACCCAGTCTGGAGTGCAGGAGTGTGATCATAGCTCACTGTAGTCTTGAACTCCTGGTCTCAAGTGGTCCTCCCGATTCAGCCTCCTGTGTAGCTGGGACTATAGTCATGTGACACCACACCCAGCTAACTCTTTAAAAAATTATTTTTGTAGAAACAAGGTCTTGTTATATTGTCCAGGTTAGTCTTGCACTCCTGGTCTCAAGCAGTCCTTCTGTCTCAGCCTCCCAAAGTGCTGGGATTATAGGTGGTATTGGTTTTTAAATTAATTCTGTTGCAGACTAAGTATCCTTCCTAAATTATATTCTAAATCATTATCTTTTTAAATGCTGTCTCCTGACTTCTGTTTCCAGCAATTTGGTAAACTTGGTGTGCCCATTCAAGTATAGAACCATTTTTAAATGACAGATAAAAATAGGAAAAACATATATACTTCAAAAAATGTTTTGCAGCTTTCTGGAAAGTAAAGGAAAATAACTACAGGCTGAAAAGCACTAGAAATCATGATTTCATAAGCGCTCAAGCCAGCATGTAACCTGAGGGCATCTGCAGATCCCTGATGGCCCAGCATCTGAGAGTCAAGTAGAGGAAAGGGTCAGAACGAGCTGCCCACAAAAGCCAGGATCTTCCACTGACAATGACATCAGAAGTAGGTGAGTAGAAAAGATACCCACTGAAAAAGACTCTGCCCGTTTTGACCTTGGCTCTGGGTAAATGGAGAGGGGCAAAATGTCTCTTAATCATTTGTAGCCACAAGTCTGCACTCACCCAGCTTGGGAGGCAAATCCACAATATTTGTGAGGCACAAAAAGGCCCAAGCTAAAAATCCTCCCTAGAGGAACTTCCTTTAATCATAGGCCTCAAACAACTCCAACATATAAAGTTCCAAGGAACATATTCTCACAATCAAAAATCTCTACACGCAGGAGGAAACAAGCCACAATGAATGAGAGTTATAAAGAAAGATAAAATGTAAATTCAGACACACAAAGAGTACAGAAATCAAATATAGTGAAGAGGAGAATCCTGAAGAGAAGGTAACATTTGGGTAAAGACATGAAGAAGGTGAGAGAGTGAGCCATCCAAGTATCTCAGAAGAGGTGACCTTAGTGGAGAAATCAGAATTCAAAGGGTCTGAGGCAGGAACATGACTGAATGTTCCAGAAACAGCAAGCAATTTGACCTACACTTCTAAAAATATCTTTCTGGATTCTATGTTGAGAATATAGAGGTGAAGGACAAGAGTAAAACCAGGTAAGCCAGATAGATTATGAATTCATGTGAGATATGATGGGTGAATTAGACCAAGGATGTAAGGGATAAAACTGAAATGTAGACAGATTCTTGAAGGTAGGGTAGACAGGATCCGATGATGGATTGAACGTGGTTGAGAAACAGAGAGAGAAATCAAAATCACTTTTCACCAACAATGGGAAAGAAGAAAGATGAAGCGTGATTGGGAGAAGGGTAGGAGCATTTTTTCTGAACAGGTTGTGCTCAGATCACTAAATTGGGAAGTTAAATAGACAGTTGGATATATGAATATGGACTTCAGAAGAGAGGACTTAACTGAAAGTTTCATTTAGGGGCTGACATAAAGATGAAGCTAATGAAAAAAAATCTCACATTCAAGAAGAGCAATGCATCTCTAGAAGAATTTAAAATAGGATCTGGGACATCAGGTTTCAGCTCCAGTACGTACATGGATTGGAACTCATCACTGCCATATACACAATAAGATAAAAAGGTGAAGAAATGGAAAATCAATGACTTTTTTTTTTTTTAACTCTTCAGAGAATTGATGTTGCAGAGCAAATGGGCACCCTGAAATCCGGAGAGAAAGACAAATACAAATAATCACAGCCAAGATCAGTTTGCCGGGTTTTTGAAAAGGTAAATAAGATTGACAAATCTTTAGCTAGACTAACTAAAAAAGAAAAAGAGAGAAGACTCAAATAAAAAAAATTACAAATGAAAGAGGAGACATTCCAACTAATATCACAAAAATACAAAGTATCATAAAGAAGAACCATAAACAGTTATACAGCAATAAATTGGATCACCTACAAAAAATGGATAAATTTCTAGACACATACAACTTACCAATCATGAAGAAATACAAAATTTGAACAGCCCGGGTGCGGTGGCTCACACCTGTAATCCCAGCACTTTCAGAGGCCAAGGTGGGCATATCACGAGGTCGGGAGGTCGAGACCATCCTAGCTAACACGGTGAAACCCCATCTCTACTAAAAATACAAAAAATTAGCCGGGCATGGTGGCGGGTGCCTGTAGTCCCAGCTACTCAGGAGGCTGAGGCAGGAGAAGGGCGTGAACCCGGAAGGAAGAGCTTGTAGTGAGCAGAGACTGTGCCACTGCACTCCAGCCAGCGTGCCTGGGTGACAGAACAACACTCCGTCTCACAAAACAAACAAACAACAACAAAAAAAAACCTGAACAGACCAGTAATGAGTAAGGAGATTGAATCGGTGATTAAAAACCTTCCAATGAGTAAAAGCCCAGGACCCATTAGCTTCACTGGTTATTCTACCAAGCATTTACAGGATTAATGCCAATCCTTCTCAAATTCTTCCAAAAAATTCAAGAGGAGGTAATTCTTCCAAACACATTCCATGAGGTCAGCATTACCCTGATATCAAAGCCAGAAAAATACATGACCAAAAAAAAAAAAAAAAAGCAGAGCAATATTCCTAAATGAACATAGATGCAAAAATCTTCAACAAAATACCAGCAAACCAAACTCAACAACACATTAAGAGGATCACACACGATGATCAAGTGGGATTTATCACTGAGATGAAAGGATGGCTCAAAATACATAAATCAATAAATGTGATAAACTGTATTAATAGAATGAAGGATAAAAATAATATCATCTCAATAGATGCAGAAAAAGCATTTGACAAAATTCAACATCATTTCATGATTAAAAAAAAAAAAAGCTTTCAATAAATTAGGTGTAGAAAGAAGGAACCTCAATACCATAAAGGTACTATATATCAAGCCCACAGCTAACACCATATTCAATGATGAAAAGCTGAAAGCTTTTCTTCTAAGATCAAGAACAAGACAAGAGTACTTCTATTCAACGTAGTATTGGAAATCCTAGTCAGAGCAATTAGGCAAGAAAAAGATATAAAAAGCATCCCTATTGAAAAGGAAGAAGTATAATTATCTCTGTTTGCAGATGACATGATCTTATATACAGAAACTGCTAAAGATTCTACTAAAAAGTTGTTAGAATAAGCCAATTCAGCAAAGTTGTGGGATAAAAAAATCAGCATACAAAAATCAATTGTTTCTGTATACTAACAAATAAATAAATAAATAAATAAAATAAATAAAAATAAAAAGAGATTTGTAGAGCTAATTTAAAAAAAAACCCCAATTATACACTGCCTTCAGGAAACACAGTTAAGATAGAAAGACATAGATAGGTTAAAAGTAAAGCAAAGGAGAAGGATATTCCATGCTAACATTAAGCAAAGAATGTTGGAGCAGCTATATTAATTTCAGACAAAACAGATTGCAGAACAAGGAAAATTATTAGATAAATACATTCACATAATCTGAATAGGCCTATATCTATTAAAGGAATTGAATCAATAATTAACAACCTAGCATTAAAAAAAAAAGCAACAGACTCAGATAGTTTCACTGGTGAGTTCTACCCAGCATTTAAGGAAGAAATGATACTAATTCTCTACAAGCTTTTCCAGATAATAGAAGAGAGAATACTTCTTAACTCATTCTATGAGACCAGCTCTATCCTAATATCAAAATCATGTAAACACCACAAGAAAGAAAATTTATAGACTAACATCTCTCATTAATATGGTTGCAAAATTCTCAAAAAATATGTTAGAAAATTGAATTCAACAAAGCAGAAAAATAATCATACACCATGACTAAGTGAGTTATTTCAGATATAGGATGGTTCAGCATTCAAAAATCAGTTAACCTAAAGCACCACATTACCAGGCTAAAGAAAAAAAACCATACAATTGTATCAACTGATATAGCAAAAGCATTTGACAAAGTCCAACACCCTTTCACGTCAAAAACTCTCAACAAACTATGAATAGAGGGGAACTTCCTCAATTCCAAAGAAAGCATTTACCAAAAAACCTACAGCTAACATGATACTTACAGCAAAGAGTTCGCCTCTTATTACTCCCATTCAACATCATACTGGAAGTTGTGGCTGGTGCAATTAAAATAATAGTAATAAAAGGAAACACAAGACATATGATTAGGAAGGAAGAAACCAAACAATCTTTGTTCAAGGCTGGGATCTATTTAGGTAGAAAATCCCAAATACAGAACACTATTAATATGTATAAAAGATATTAATTTACAGGAGAATACAATGTAGAAATTTATATCAATAAAATATGAAAAAGTGGTTACTTTCCTAGAAAAATATATTATCAAAATTGACTCAAGAAGGTGGAAAACTGAACCAATAAATAACTATACCCAGACCCCTGAAATAGACACTATACCTTTAATGAACAGATGACTAATGTTTTATTTAAATAATTCCACAAAGAGAAAAAACATATAATGTTTTCCAACTTATCTGTTACCGAAACTGTGTAAGAGTTATTGATAAGAATATCACTATAAACCAGTCTCACTGGTGAACATAGGTACAATAAAATGCTAGCAATGAAACCCAGCAGATTCATAATATATTTTCTCATTGGAAGAAAAGACATAGTCTATTGACAAAAGTGGGAGGGAGAAGCAAAATACTTGAAACTTAACAAGAAATGTGTATTACCTATGTGAAGAGAACTATAAAGCTTTACTGAAGGTCATAAAAGGAAACTTAAAAAAAAAGACAAATGTATTATGTTCAGAGATAAAAAGTTTGAGTGTAGAAATATCTTAATTTAGTCTGTAAATCTAATGCAAATCTCAATAAGACAAGTTCATTCTCATGTTCATAAGAATGGAAACATGCTTCTTAAGTACAATTTTAAAAATTTGAAAAAATTGTGCAGGAAATTTCACCAACCAGAGAGCAAAATATGAAAATACGGTGATTTTTGCATGAGGTATTAAAAAAAGAATAGGCCGGCTGTGGTGGCTCAGGCCTGTAATCCCAGCACTCTGGGAGGCCGAAGCGGGCAGATACCTGAGGTCAGGAGTTTGAGACCAGTGTGGCCAACATAGTGAAATCCTATCTCTACTAAAAATACAAAAAAAAAAACAAAATTAGCTGGCTGTGGTGGCACACGCCTGTGATCCCAGCTACTCTGGAGGCTGAGGCAGGAGAATTGCTTGAACCCAGGAGGCAGAGGTTGCAGTGAGCCGAGATTGCCACTGCACTCTAGCCTGGAGGAAGAGCAAGACTCCGTCTCCAAAACAGATCACTGGAATTGGAGAGTCAATAAATATTCCATCTAAATTAAAATTTAAATTATCTTAAGTATGATCTTTTACATCAGTCTATAGAGAATAGTCTATTAAATATATGGTGCTGTGATATTACCTCATACCAGGAACGAAAATTAACTCCAGAGCAATTAAAGAGCTACACATAAAAAAGATAAAAGCATAGAAATAGTCAAAGAAAGCAAAATATTTTTATAATCTTGGAAAAGGGAGATGGACAATTTTGACCA